AGTTAAACATTATTGAAATATTTTCAATACAAATGGGTGTTTACCTTTCTTTGTCACTTAGTACATATATTCGTTTGTAAGTCTCATGTGAGTGTTATATGGAACCAGAAAGGCTACGTTTTGAAATTATTTCCAGAAGGATATTGTGTTGTATTTTTCTGAATAGCAAAAATAAATTTAATTGAACAAATATTTTATTTCTTGTCATTGAAATTGTCTTTTCATTTTCTACTCAGAACTATTGATTTTTTTGTATTATTTTAAAAACCAACCATCAAGTTCCTACCACATCTAAAAAATATTACCCAATTTCGTTGAAAATACTAATTGCTCGTACGCATATCAAAATCCCGCACCGAAATAATAGAAAACACTCCGCCACTGGGTTCCTGGGTTTTTTTATAGCCATTCCTAATTAATTCTCTAGGAGTAAAACAGTGGTTCTTGAGGGGTGTTTTCATTTTGTCTCCAGCTTATTTCTCGGCTTATTTCGTGTACTTTCAGTTCTTTTTTTCTTGTTTTTTTAATTTGTTTTCCTATTACTCCTCTAATTTCACTTTCTTTCCTCATTCCCCTATTTCTTTGATTTCCTTATTGTTCTATTTTTAAGGCCAACAAATCTGTTCCAGGCTTTTTGTGCTCGAATCAAAACTGCTGATGTCGGTACAACGTATCCCACCGCTGTCACCAATGTGACATGTGTTTATAAATTAAAGAACCATTTACCTGTGCTATTCACATGTACCTGAACCTATTCACTTGTACAATTAGGCTGGATTTACCAGCCTTCGTTACGTACTGTCGACATGTCGACATTACAATCTCTATTCAGAGTCTTCAGATTCTTCAAAACAGACTGAATATATTTTGGCGAATGCGCAGGTGTTTATACCAGGGTCATACCAGAAGTAACCGGCCCGAACAGAGATGGCGGTAGTTGTTTGACAAATATTACGGTATCAGAAAGTACACAATTCATAAAGTATATGTTTCAAGTTTGAAGACGCTGGGTTGTTTAATATTTGTTTGGCAGCCATCAATAGCGAACGTTTTCGGTAAATTTGTGAAAATGGAGAAAATTGCCTCAGCCTCAGCCTCTGCCCAACCAATATGAAAGCTGAACTGGATTCTACTCTGGGTGAGTCTGCTCTTTCGTTTACAACAATAAAATATTGAGTAGCAGAATTTAAACGAGGCCGTAAGAGCTGCCAAGACGAGCATCGCAGTGGTCGACCAAATGAGGTGACGACTCCAGAAACGGTGAAGAAAATCCACAAAGCGGTACTGAATGATCGTCGCCGCGTGCCGGCGATGGGTGCCGCGTTTGCTCACACTCGAGTAAAAACAGTGACGTGAAGATGTTTCAATTGAGTGTTTAGCGAAATTTCACGGCAACAAAGCAGAATTCTTGCGTCGTTTCATAACCATGGATAAAACATGAGTCCATCACTTTACACCTTAGACAAAAGAACAATCAAAACAGTAGACTCCAAAGAAGGCGAAGACCGTTTTATCTGCAGGCAACGTCATGGCATCGATTTTGTGAAGAAATTAAGCAAAAACGGTCGCAGTTGACTGAGAAAAAAGTGTTGTTTCATCAAAACAATGCACCAGCTCACAAATTAAAGTATGAATTGCTACCTAATGCACTCTATTAGCCAGATTTAGCCCCCTCGGATTATTTTCAACTCCCAAACTTGAAAAAATTGCTCAGTGTCAGAGATTTTTCAACAATGAAGCAGCAGTTAATGGCTATTTTGAGGAGCAAGACAATTCTTATAAAAACGATATCGAACTTTGATCAGAACCGAGTTAGTCATCCACTATCGAGAAACCATTCAACCAGTGCTATCCCTTCCGTACCTCAGATGACTGTCGGACTCACCATCATCCACAGGGAAGAACACTGGTTCGAAAGAATGTTTCAATAATCTGCGTACATGCTGAAAAACAACCCATTAGGCAGTCTAGCGCAGAGATCCACAACATATGGAAACCTCTATTCGACCAGGAAAATAAAGCTCTGAATGAATCAGCGTATACTGATGACATACAATTATAAATGCACTTTAAAATCGATGATTATGCTGAGGCACGAAATCTCTTCAACACTGATCTTGATTTGATCAATGTGCTATCAAGTGAACATGATTTGAAAGTTAATCCTAATAAAACAATGATGATGCATTTTGGATCGCAGAAGGATCGTAAATTTACAGAAAACAATTTCCATTTACAACTAGGTCATACTATCTTGACTCCTGTCAATACAGCTAAAAACTTAGGGGTGATACTTGACACTGATCTTAGATTCACTAGTCATGTTAAAAATTTAATGAAAGAAGCTTATATGTCATTGAAACTGTTATACTGTAATCGTTTTATTTTGAGCCAACCTCTAAAAATAATGCTCTGTGATAGTTTGGTGCTAAGCAATTTCAACTACTATGACTTCATATATGGGCCATACTGGGGAATGTTCCTCAATTTGGGTTATTACAGCAAATGCAAGTTTGAACACAATGAAGTTGAGTTTAATTCATGAGTTTTTAAAATTCACTTCGAAATTTAATCAAATTGATGTTTTGAATTTTGGGTTCTAATTTTTAAAGGGATTCGTTTCCAATTCACATATTGGCAACAGCGCCTATATCAAGTTGGAATAATTTATACGTACCTAGATATTCTACTTTAAAAAAGGAAAATTATCTTTATAAATCAACAATTAAGGCAAAAAATAAATTAAAGTTCAATACCACCTCCACAAGCCACATAAACAACAGTTGTTTTGTTATTTATAATTATGGAATGGTGCTTGTTGGTCGAGTTAGAATAGCTTTGAGCTAGACTTCGCCAATGAGTACCAGAATCTCCTGTAACTTATTTTCATTTTCAAATGTATCTTTGTATTGTTTTTTTTTTGTATTATCGATAAAGCCGATTAATTATTATTATTAAAAAATCCCATATGTTGACCATACACTGAGTAAAACTTTGATTTAAAAATATCCGTTTTCAACGCATCGAAAACAGAAGATAGATAAAAAATAGCAATTATACATTTTCCTTCGTCTACATCGCTGTATTGTTCCAACAATTGAACTCACTCATTTAAAAAGCTTTCAGTCACTTATTCCAATACGAAAAATAAACTGATTTTCTTCCAAAAATTCAATCACCGCCTTTTAAATTCCCATATTTAACTGAACCTATCGACATAAAGTAAAACGGGAGTATTGAAATTAATCATGCCTTCATTTGGATTAGATTAAATTCGATTAGATAGTATCGTGTAGGCAAGCATAGGAATCAAATGTCAATACTTATAATACTGAACATTGAAAAAAATGGTGTGTAAGGTTGAATTACTTTGGTTATTATCATCAGTTTACAGTTATTAATATTT